TGTCTCCAAAATCTAAAAATGGGTGTAAACACAGTGTAAACTGAACTTCATAAAAAATTAAAAACATTAATTCCATTGCCTATTTCCAAAAAATAATAAATAAAAACATTAATTCGGATTAGAAAAACAAAATTATCTTAATACAAGACGACCCAAAAATAAAAATAAAAAACTATTCTTAATTTTTAACTCTAATATAAACCTTGTGACCGTAAGAATACAAAGCTTATTTATTTATTTATTTATTTTGAACATGAAGAATTTAAGGGAAAGGAAAAACTTTGACTGCCATTGCGGGTAGATAAAACTTTAACATTTACCAGAAGTTTGACGCCCCTAAACCAACACGGTTAAAGCCGCGGAGCTTATTTAATTTTACATAACATATCGAATGATTTAAATAACTCAGTAGTTATATCTTTTTATTAAAAATAAAAGTTCATAAGTTCAACTGACATAACATATAAGTAAGATAAAAAATAATTACCTTTAATTATGTAATCAAAATAAAATATATATATTTATGTGACACGCCTTCAGAAGTTTAGATGACACACGAAAAAGGTCTTAACAGAGAATGAATAAAAAATTCAAACCATAAAAGTCTTACAATTCAAGCACAAATAGAACAGGACAACTGATAAGGGACTACAAGGTGGAAAGAAAACCCAACAATATTCCAAGTTACCAACACTAACAACCTACGTATGCTTATTCCTATCAGCCACGAAGCAAATATAATTGCATAAAAAACATTCATGCATGAGTAACAAGTACAGAATTAGGCAAAACTGCAGGAAATTATTCATATTACATTAAAGTAAAATGTTCCCTAGAAGTAGAGCTAGAAATGTCAAAAAGCTAATCCAGATAACAAATGATTTGTATGGGTTGCATCGATTCCTCTCTGAACATTTTCAAGATGCCAAGTCTTCATTTTGGAGTAGATTCTTCAATCCAGTTTCACTGAAGAGAACAAGTAATGCACAAACCAGAATGAAGAAAGGAATCCAACTGTACCTGTGGCGAGCATAATTGCAGTAACCATGAAGAGCGAATATCCCAGGTACAGAGTGGCAGAGACTGGTCCACTTAGACTCTTGAGGTCAAAAATTAGATAGTTTACAGAGTATAAGAAGATGTAGATGGCAACTGAACCAGATGCAAAGAAGGACTTCCACCACCATTTCCAGTCCTCCACACACAGGTGCATGTAGGTCAACACTAGAGACACTTCAGCACAAACCACTACCAGAAGGATCAAGACAATGAAGAGAAATCCAAAAACATAGTAAACACGGCCCATCCAGATGCTAGACATGATAAAGAAAAGCTCAATGAAAAGGGTACCAAAAGGCAGAGTGCCAGCACCGAGAACCAACAGCCAGGATGGGTATTTTTGAGGTGGAATTTCCCGAGGAATCTGGTTGGTTCGGACAGGGTACTCAATGTGAGATGCCTTTGCCCCAAGGTATCCACCAATCATGGTAAGTGGAACTGAGATGCAGAACCAAAGCAGAAGCAGAACAACAAAGAGAGAAAATGGAATAGCTCCTGTGCTATGACTGCCCCACAATAGGAAGTTCAAAGTGGTTAGAATAAAAAAGGCAATGCCAGGGAAGAAGCAAGCAGCCTTCCAAGAGACAGAAACCCATCCTTTGTGATCACCACATCCTATTGTTCTCCAAAGACGAACTGCCACATAACCAGCTGCAACACCAAGGATCATGTAGAAAAATAGCATACCTGTAATAAGAGTTCCACGGGAAGCTGGTGACATAAATCCAAGAGCAGCAAACAATATTGTTACAATGGCCATCCCAAGAATCTGGACCCCATCTCCAACCATAATGCACAAGAGAGCAGGATTGGATGGAGCACGGAAAACATCACCAACAACAAGCTTCCACCCGGACAACTCCTCATTCATTTGTGCTTGAGCCTCCTTGTCAAGCTCCTCATACCGAGTTAGGTCCCGCCTAACAGTCCTCAAGAAGATCACAAGGACTATACCAGCAAGGAAAGTGATCACCATGAGAGAATTCAGGATTGAGAACCAATGGACCTTTGACCCCTCCATCTTCAAATAAGCATCCCAGCGAGACGGCCACTTGATATCACTCTCCTCAAAGGCAACCTCATAGGTGAACACAATTGGCTCACCTTCCTTAATAGGCATTGACACAGTATTCGGATCACATTTAATAGGAGTTGGATACTTGCCATTGAATTTCAAGTTCTTGACAGCTTTAGCATTATGCATGACACTACAAGGAATAACCTCAAACCCCACAACCATGTAGCCCGGCACATCAGATCCCTCATTTCCCATTGTAGGGATGACCTCAGCTGCATCCCCAGTACCCATCACACGTGCCACATTAGTCTCCTCATACTTATGAACAAGCACATTAAACTTCAAATGGTTAAACACATAATAAAAATCCTGAACCTTAATCCCAACTGGATACCCAGTCCACCTCAGCATAAAGCCTTCCTTCTTAGTATAACGAATTGCTGGCAAATTGTCAAGAATCAAATTAACCTGATACATCTCATCAATCCTCTTCTTTAAGAGCTTAAAGTCATCAGATGATAACGGATCGGTTAGACAGAGGAAGATGTCAGTCTCATTGTTGTGCATCTTAAACCTATAGGGGGAGTTCTCAATCCGATCCCCCATGAGAAGCTCACCCAGGTTCTCAGCACTATCCTTAACACCCTCTGGTGGTTTACAGAACGGCAAACTGTAATAACTAAAAGGCATTTCGGTATCAATGGAAGTGAGAGAATTCACTTTGACTGACAAGGTATCACCGACGAGATGTTTGTGAGGATAACTACCGGGAAGATAAAACCCATATCCAGATTGAACTACCAAGCAAATGGTGAATACCCAGATACTAAAACCGCACAAAAATCCCATCTTTGCAACAATTTTGCTATCAGATCTGGAAACTGAGATCACAAAATGACCCACAATTAAGCAATATCCCTAAGTTTATCAGTTAAGAATTTCAAAAAAAAAAAAAATTCAAAAAAACTCTAGCAATTCAGAATCAGAAATAGAAAAAGATTGGATCGATGAAATAGGATTGAGGATATGAAATAGGATTGAGGATCTTACTGACCTGCTTCAGCAGTGCGTCCAGACTATGGAGAAATTTGAGATCTTGATCTTGGAGCGTTGCCTTGCTTCTGAGATGAGGTTTTTTTTTTTTCTTGCGTTACCGACACCCTATATTCCCAATGCTTCGATGATCTGCATATTGACTATATTACCCCTATTCGCTTCTTTGCATGGCAACAAAAAAAGGCAAAAACTCTTCTTAAGCCCTCAAACTTACCCCCAAAATAGCATTTAAGCCTCTAAACTAAAAATGAAGCAGATAAGCCTTCTAACTCCACTAATAATGCAAATAAATATTTTTTATTCATTGGT